CATTCATTGTGCTTAATGGTTTCATACTTCTGAAATCTGAATTCCTACATCATGCTTTTTTCTGTCTGTGTGCGGTCCTGAACTTTCTGCATGCATTCAATTTGATACTAGGTGTGAGGACACTTTATTGTTACCAATTTGTTGGTTTGGTTCCGTTTAAAACAATGTTGCAGGGAATGTACTGTTCATCAATAGCTTATCTTTTACAAGAGGAGTCTGTGCATTTCATAAGACATCCTGGCAATAAATGATCAACGTTTCCTCATCGGCATTTGTTAATCCTGTTAGTTGATCAAACGTAAATGACTTTAAACCTAAAAAGACGTTTTGGTGGAGGAGTATTCATTTTCAGTAAGAACCTCAGAAATTGCAAAATGGAAAACAATGAAAAGAAATCTTTTTTTTTTAGACTTTACAGTACTTCGGAATTAAAAAAAAAAAAAGGTATCTCTAGTGTTCAAACTCAGAATTTCTTTCTGAAAAGCTTACCACAGAAACGCATTCCTTCATTGTAAATCTTTCCGAACCACTGTTCACTGTTTTTAACCGTGGTTTTGAGCTCAGGCATTCAGGAGAACAAAGAGAATTTCTTTCCCAAACAGCAGCCATGCTTCCTGTAGCGTGTCGTAATCTGGAACATTGACAACCAACCAGACTGTACCAGTCCTGGCTATTTTTCTCTATGGAGACTCGTTGAAGACGTAGGTAAGATTTAAAAATTGCTCATGAAAAAAGTGTCCCGCACGAATTCAAGGAAATTTCATCCCTCAAGTATTCAATTTTAAGTCAATTTTCACTCTTGCAGCAAACGAAAAAATTCGAACCGCAGGAGATGCGAATCCATTTTCTAAGCTCTACGTAGCCCGAAGACTTATCATTATACAGTATTTTTAAGTTCCGTAACCGTCACTCCAAAGCCACGCGTGGATGGGAAAGGGAATGGGTACAAGGGTAACTGCCTTTCTTACTTTGGTCTCCATGATGTTTGCGAATAGACGTGGAATTTTCTTTTTTTTTATGCGCACAGGCGTGTTCCTACCGCGTGATCTGATCCTCCGAAGATTCGCGCTTTCCTGGTAATTCACGTTTCGTATGAAAAAGAGGGACCTGCATCTGCCTCGAACCCATCGTTTTCAATCCGAAGGAAAGCCCCGAAAAAGTCCCCCCCCCCCCCGATAAATAGGCAATTATGTGGTCCCCCAGGTGATGCACACTTGTTTAATGCGTTGCGCGTGGCGTGATGGACATTCCCAGGCATAGCGTCATAAGGAAGCGGAATTTGCACTAGAGATTCTGAACGAGGTCCGAGATCCTGACGTGCACGTGGTGGACGATGTCGGTCGCCAATTTTTGAGGACGACCACTTGAGTGCGGAAGTGGCTGTTCAGACACGCCCTCGAGATGCTGTTTTTGTTTTAATCAGGCGTTCGTTAAAACGAAGCACTTTTTCGAATCATCATGAGCATATCTTGAGAAGATTCTTTTCTTCTGTCCAGCACCTTCTTTTCTTCTTTCCAGCACCTTCTTTTCTTCTTTCCAACATTCCACTCCACGAGAATTGAACTTTGAAAAGACACAGGGTTCTCTCAATTCAATAAAAAGTACTCTCCGAATTAATTGAGGACCAGAATGAATAGTTAGCTTTGTATGATTTATCTTCAAAAATCAGAATTGTTCACTCCTTTAAAAATATATCTGGGAACAGACAGAACACCTTATCATTTTTTAAATCAGTAATTGCCCTGTGATCATCATCCTTTAAGAACGATCAAGATTTTTGTGAATGCTCATATACTGTGAATTTTTTTCTGGAAACAGTCATTTAGTGAATTTTTTTATGGGCCTGAATCTGTCTAATGGATATGCTCGGAGAGGGATGTGAAAAAATTGTGTGAACCTTGAATGCTGACACGGAGAAAATGAAGCTTGTACCTCACTTAATCAAGGAGTAGGTGCCTGTGTGAGCATGGTGACAAGTTTGGGGAAATTTGTTCACTTACTCGATCTGCTGGTTTGAAAATGGAAACCTGGTGGAAAAGGAATTGGTTGGGTTCCTACTTCCGAAATTACGGTACGTTCGCGTACTTCGTTCCAACTGTGAGTAAGTGTCAAAATCCCCGCGTGTTGAAATGCCATAAAAGTGTCATTGAGCCATCTCTCTTTCGCAATACGTCGAGCATCTGGACCTTCCATTCACATCACCAAATCATATTTCGTATCTGAATCCAGCTGGAAGAATAAAATTCCTTCAAGAATACCGCTTGAAACATAAGAACATTCACGTGTGAAATACCAACTTCAGTTGGAGAACTTTTGAATCTAAAGCTTGGGTGTCCGAATTGAGGTACTCGAATCGCTCCAAGCTGGCGACTCGAGTCCAAGAAAATTCTCCACTGTGATGAACCTTCTTCTGTTCGCGAAATTACTGCACTGGGACATTCTGTCATCGAACTATGAAAAAAAGAAATCGTTTCTGACCAGCTGCTGATGAAAACAAAAACTTTCAAGCACTTTCTATTCGTTACTTGGCGATTGTACTGTACTTCGTGAATCCCGTACAGCATCGGGAAAAAAAATTAGTTATTCTAAATACCTGACCCGAATGTTCCGCATGTTGTTCTGAACCGTTCGTAGCTGTATCGGGAATGACTACATCGTTTCCGGTTGTCGTCGCGTCACTTAGTTGTTCATCCATAACAAGTCCGGTTTATCGCGTGCCACGAATGCATTCCTTCCCGACAAGATTTATTGTGGTACAGGATTAAAGTTCGGGTCACTAGGTGAGGTCATCTTAGTGGTTTTCTTCCTGCGCATCAGGTTACAAAAGTCCCAGGGCGCTTCGGGTGTGACCCAGAGGATCGCGAGAGTTTCTTTCCTCCTACTTCCGCCTGTGGGTTTTCTGCAGAAAGATTCATGCGTGAGTTGTCAAACGATAGTTCCCGGGGAATTCTTGATTCTTATAACGAAAACAAATGTCGCCTTTCCCTGAAAATGTGACCTGCCTACTAAGTAAACCCAAGCACAGAATGTCCACGTGCCGGAAGCAACTCCTGGTTAGTATCAATAAGGTATGTTTTGAAAGTTGGGCCTGAATATTTAATTGAGTTTTGTTCAGCTCTTGAGAGTTCAGGGCCATTTTTTTTCTAAATACCGTAGTTGAAGTTTTGAAGTGTTTTCAAGATTTTACTCAATTTTTTTAACCTCTGAGCATTCGAGGTTTCGTGATTTTATAAAATGTGGAAATTTTGCCGAAGTTTCCTTGTTCGCCGATTCGAAAATACAGTACCTTCAACGTATGCCGTGGTGCACTTTTTCGATACAAGGAATGAGGTCGCATTTTAAGGGAGCATTTTTGCGTTGGGAACATGCAGAAAGCGATTCCTAAAATCCATGAATGTTTCGCAGAAATTTTTCTGAGTCAAATGACGGCACTCTTTTACTGACGATTGAATGAGCATGAATGCCGAAATGAAAGTGAACATTCCGTCATGTAGAAGCTGAATTTTTAAATCCAGAATAGCTACAACCGAAGGCTTGAAATCGTATGCACTAATTTCATGTTTTGTAATTGCGTTGGTTTCTGATTCCATCGCTGTATCGAATTCAAGCCTGAAGCCGACATATTAAAAAAAAAGTTCATAAAGCGTCGTTACATGACCTTGCCCTGGATTCCGAATGACTGAGCAGGGTGAAGATGTCATCCGGTTACAGCGGTGCTCTTTCAACGCCTAACTCACGCTGGGCTGCTGAATTTCATTGCTGAAAACTCTAAGAAGTAAAATAAAATTCCGAATTGCTCCTCCGAGGGGTTTTTATCAGCGAGCACTTCGTGGCATTTGTGGCCTCCTCGCCTCGTGGTGCTGAAGCGAGAAACCTTCGATGGATTGTTAGCGTGCAGCACTTTGAACTGAATAAAAATACCGCTTTGAGGTGATGTGCCTTAGGAGCCTCAGTTGTTGGTTGAAATGTATCTGGAGGTGACTGCACACGCTTTTCTTTGCCTGATACAGCAGATACGGGCCACGCAAATGCTCTCACACCCCTACCCTTTTATATTTTTGCCTTTCGGTGAAAGGGAACGGAACGAATACCAAGTGTCAAACTGTCCTTCTTCATTGGTCCCAGGCCTGCTTGAAATGGCGAGCGGGAAATCTGGCCAGTTTTTCGCCATCGCCAAGTTTTCGGATGCATTTCCGGAGTGACCCGTTCTCAATACTGATCTGTCATCCGTCTGCATAATTTTTGCGTTGAAGTCGGAGCGTGACCGGACAGCTCTTCTGGAAACTGAAAGCAGAAAAATATGAAATACCGCATCACTGATTTTCGATATTTTTCTTGAGTTTTGTTGTGCTGGCATTGTTTTCAAACTAGACTGCTGTTTGTTTATGTACGGAAACTTGTTCTAGACGCTCTCACAAAATTTCAGGAGACAAGTTACAGAACTGCTCGAGCACTGAATACACTGTCACAATAAAAGTTCAACTTCCAACAAGAGCTGGTACTTTCTGAGTGAAACTCGTGAACAATACGAAGTGTCGCCCGTATCGGTTACGTGAATAAAACTTGACACCGATTTTTCCTGTGACAATTCGATACAATTTTGTCAATCTCTTTTTCGACATTTTGTTGTCAATTTTCTGCACATTTTTAGGCCTAGAACATCCCCGGATGTTCAGTGATCTGAATCGGACTCATTTCACGATGCACTGACTGAATATTTGAACCGAGTCGTTGGCCCGTATGCTACAGGAATGGGGGCATTGTACTATTCACTTCACTTTTTGTATATTTTTCGTTTAAATTGTAGCGACGCGTTGCGTCTCAGAATCTGATAAGCGCTCAGAGACGAAAAACATTTTTTAGAATCTCCGCATGGCTGCGGGTGACTTCATGGAGATTCTTGGTCCGTGAGGAGCCTGACCCAGGATTACCACCCATTAGCCCAGACCGGAACTGTAATTATGTTGAAAATTTTTTGTTACTAGACTCTATGCAGTCAAATGCAGGCGGTGTGTGATGGAGCTGCGAGTCATTACGTGATTCGATTGGGAGGGACGACCGTAAGTGTCCTGTGCTTCAAGAACGTAATTTCGTTCCCAGCAGTATTTTATGCGAACATTCGCGTTTCCTGCCTTGGATTTCCTAGATTTTTATTCTTTCTTGGGAGATATTTCTCTTCATTCGTGTATATTCGAGTGCAGTACTCGATCTTCCTGACTGTCGAACATCAGGTTCTGTTCACTTCGTTTCCTGATAATTTCAGGAAGCAGCACGTTGCCGTGATGGGGTACATAATTTATGAGCTACCGCCTTCCTTGGTTCGAGCTCATTGAACGATAATTATCATGCTCTTAGTTGTCATTTTCTGTCGGGACAAATCCTCGTGGTGCCGAGAGAGAGGTTCCAGATTCACTATGAATTTCGTATGCAGAAGGAATCGCTGAAATATGACTGAATCCCGTGTCGGCTGCAGCTGACGCGATGCAGCTTTCATAATCGTCAAGACCTGCCTTCCCATGGATAGAACAGGAGATCAATCTTTAAACAGGACTCCGTTATTCATTGGAGTTCTGCCTGTGTTTCGACGCAAAATTTCTCAGTTGGTTGCGTCGCGATGAAAGTTTAATGAGACGGGATATATGGTGTTTCTTTCGAAGTACAGTAATATCTTTTCAGAAAAAGTATCTTCCGTCTCCCGGAGATGCGAATTTCAGCGTGAGTCCTGACGCCAAAAAATGAAGCCATTAAAATCCCGATGAAGTGAATTTCGAATGAATGTGAAAAGCAGCCTGACTTTTTAAATTAAATTGTGGCTCATGAGAGAGTCGGATTTTCATTTTGCAGGAGCATGAGTCGCAGGAAATTCAAGACCTACCTCTGGAGTTATACTGTACCTGTATTCTAGATCTGGAAAAGGGTGTCCAGGAAGTTAGCCCATGTGTGTTTTGAACGTATTTCAGATTTTCAGGGATGAGTAAAACATTTCACACTTCCCGGCTGTAGAATCGAAGGAGGCGAACACGAGGCGAATTATATTTAACAAGTTCTGATTGATGACTTGATACGAATTTCATATTAAGAGGACGAATTTTTTCGATTTGCTTCTCATTTTTTCCGGATTTTCGGACCATTAAAAAAATTTGCTTTCATTGAAATCAAAAGCGTAGTGAAGGGATGAGTAGTGAATCAGGGTTGAAGGTAATAATCATGTGTTGTCGGCACACATCGTTAGCGTCGGGTCACGATTCCGTTGCTTTCTGTAGAAACCAATCTGTCATCGTCACTGTCGAAAGTGACGATGTCTAGGCGTGTTCGAGCTCCGTGAAAAGAATCCGTAGAGGTTTTGTTTGCACCGTATGTTTCATTAACCTGCATAGCATTCTTCATTTTCCGGAATTCTTCATCACCATAGATGAAATCCGCGGAAATTCTGCCTGAAGAATGTTTGCCGAATAGTATTGTTGATATGATCGGACGTAACTTTTTGAAGGCAGCGTCGTAAAATGAAATATTTATTTGATCTTTTTTTCTTGAGGAATGCTTACAGTATATTTGAGTAAATTAGTTAGCGCTTCTTATTGCAATGACCCAACAAGGTAATTTTCTCAGACATTTTGCTGGAATTTTTTTTTTGGCGTGCCTGAAAAGAATGAGTACTGTGCCTCCATGAAAAGAAAAATGCTCGGAAAATTGTCCTTCCGTCTTATTTAGCAATTAGGGACGAACTTCCCTGCTTTCGAAGACGGAAATTTTCGCTTATTTCGAGTAACCTCCGCTGGCAGCCTGCTAATTTTATTCCAGGGAAAGGGAAGTTCATTAATTGACGCGGGCGGGCTGTGTTCCTCATTCGCCGACTTCCCGTGACATGACATGATGTCATTTGGAATTCAGGAAGATGACCTGCTTTCTTGAGGGCAGGACGTGTTCAGCTAACTGGGATGCTCCCCAAATTGTCGAGCGTAATCTCCGAGTTTGTTCTATCTTGTACTGTACCTTATTTATTTGAGAATATGACCCAATCGTGGAATAATTGCGTTAATTAATTTCGTAACATCCAGTAATTTCGGCCCCACTCTGTAAATAAGTCTTGATGAGATTGAATATTTGTTCATACAAATTGAAGTTTCAGTTAGCGCATTATCAACGGTGCAATGATTTACGGGCGTCAGGGTTTCAGTGTAGATTTGGCTTCTCGTTGATGCATTTTTAGAATTGTATTTTAAATCTGACCTTATTCCTCTTTTTGCTTTTGTGTCATGCTATGAGTGCTAGCCCTAGGTTTTATTCATTTTTTAGAAAGAAATTTCTGTGAGAACGTGGTATTTTTTCCTGGGAAACTTGTGGTTGGTGCACGTCTGTGAAGATTGCTTTTCATCTGACACCGTTTCAATCGACGGCATGAATTGCGAAAGGCACCCGTCACATTAAATTACAGTAGAATCTCGTTATAACGAATAATCGGTGACAGCGAAGTCTAGGTCGCTGCCCAATAGCTATAATATTAAAAGAGTTCCTCTCGAGTAAAAATAACGAATTCTTTCTTCACAACGAAGTGTCTTCAACTGGTCCTAATGGCTTCGATTTAACGAGGCTTTACTGTATTTGTAACATGCAAGGGTCCTTTTGGAAATAAAGTAGCCATTGTTTGCCCTAATGTGCATGAGGGCAAGATAATCGATCTAGAGTATTCGAGAGAGGGGGAAAGCTGTAAAAAAAGAAATCTGGAGTTATTCCTGCTGGTCGTTCATCCGGATGTGATACAGTGACGGGAATTGCTATTTCTTCTACGGTGTCACTCGAAATTATCATGGACGAGCGTCGTCTTGACACCAAGTGTCTCGGGTGTTTCCCGCTGTGCACTTCGCTTGCTCTCGGGGCATTAGGTCGCTTGAAACTGAGCAGGTTCTGTTGCGGAGGATTTTTTTTTTCTGACTGCTTGAGAAGAAGGGGAACTTGCAGCAACCCTCCTTTTCCGATATTTTATTTAAGGGCGGTTTGATCAGGTTATTTTTCTTGCCCTAACCATTCCAAGTTTTCGCCTGTTGCCCCGTTTCATCGGGGATATCCGTCATTCCTGGCTTTCGCTGTTGAGGTGGAACAACTCTGCTTATTTTCCTGCCGCCGAGAAGATCATTCCTAGAAGCAGGAAAAACATCAATGTTCTGTCTAGTCGGCTTGTGTTGTGGGACGGGGCTTTTCAAACTTTTTATTGTATCGCTTATTTGCAGCACATGGCAGTGTTTGCGTACAACCTCATGAGTATTGCAGTAAAATCTCGGCGTAATGAACTCCCAGGGACCTGTGAGAAAATTCGTCATCATGAGATTCATGGTTTTTGGAATATTCAGGACGAAAATTTGTGGGAAACAAATAATAATTGCTTCACAGTATTCACAAATTATTTATTTGAAAAATTTCTATAAATTCCATTTCCAAATCTTCTTGCAGAAGTGATACAGAAAAAAATGAATAGGTTTAATAGTATTAATACAATTATCTTATTCCATCTTCCCTTGCTTGATGCACTGATCTTACTGAAGTATAAATTGGAGCGTACAAAAATGCATGTGCAACGAGAGTATTTAGTTATTAACAACTGTAAGTTCCCTGAAATTGAGCAGTATTCTTTCGAACATACTGCTTATTTGTAACAATTAGCCATTCGTGTAAGTTCTAAAAAAATCGATATAATTTTGATCGAGAGTATCATGCTTCATGCTTTCTGCAATGATGCTAAATTTTCTGTACAAGAATGTTGCGGAGTATAGTTTTTATGGTCATTAACAGTGCAGATTTTCCCATTTTTGCCAATTATTAAAATTCCTATGGCTCGTGCACGCATAATCGAGGCGAAAATTGGTTAGATTGAGATTATCGGTGAACAATTTTAAGCGAAATTTTTTGTAAAATTAATTCTTCTGGAGAAATTGCCGGGACCAAGGAAAAAAAATTATGACGAGATGGTTTAGTTGAAGCCTTTTTTTTTTACCAATAGGACCAGTCAAACTTTCTTTTCAAGATTTTTTTGGAGTTTTCCAGAAAAGAAGAATGATTATTTTTCAAAAGTTTCGCGCGCACAGCGAGAACGTCCTGAAAACGTAAATCTCGTGAAAATTGCAGCGCGTTCTCACGATACGCGAATTTCTTCGCACGTTGTTCAGTACTACTTGTGTGGCCCTTGTTTTCGTGCCAAGGTTAATTGTCGGGTTTTTTTGTAACGCCTGTTCGTGTTACTACAGTATTGTCTCTTTCCAGGTGCGATGGGCTGAACAACAAGTGGCGAAAAAACGAGTGAAGCGGAATGCTGTGCCAAAGCCCCAGCAGGACTACTATCAGTCTGGGTATTACTCTTCGCGTCGATGCCTTCCCATGGATAGAACAGGAGATCAATCTTTAAACAGGACTCCGTTATTCATTGGAGTTCTGCCTGTGTTTCGACGCAAAATTTCTCAGTTGGTTGCGTCGCGATGAAAGTTTAATGAGACGGATATATGGTGTTTCTTTCGAAGTAATATCTTTTCAGAAAAATTCTCTTCCGTCTCCCGGAGATGCGAATTTCAGCGTGCGTCCTGACTCCAAAAAATGAAGCCATTAAAATCCCGATGAAGCGAATTTCGAATGAATGTGAAAAGCAGTCTGACTTCTTAAATTCAATTGTGGCTCATGATAGATTCGGATTTTCATTTTGCAGAAACATGAGTCGCAGGAAATTCAAGACCTACCTCTGGAGTTATACTGTACCTGTATTCTAGATCTGGAAAAAGGTGTCCAGGAAGTTAGCCCATGTGTGTTTTGAAGGGATTTCAGATTTTCAAGGACGAATAAAACATTTCCCACTTCCCGGCTGTGGAATCTAAGTAGACGAACACGAGGCGAATTATATTTAACAAGTTCTGATTGATGACTTGATACGAATTTAATATTGAAAGGACGAATTTTTTTCGATTTACTTCTCATTTTTTTCCGGATTTTCGGACCATTTAAAAATTTGCTTTCATTGAAATCAAAAGCGAAGTGAAGGGATGAGTAGTGAATCAGGGTTGAAGGTAATAATCATGTGTTGTCGGCACACATCGTTAGCGTCGGGTCACGATTCCGTTGCTTTCTGTAGAAACCAATCTGTCATCGTCACTGTCGAAAGTGACGATGTCTAGGCGTGTTCGAGCTCCGTGAAAAGAATCCGTAGAGGTTTTGTTTGCACCGTATGTTTCATTAACCTGCATAGCATTCTTCATTTTCCGGAATTCTTCATCACCATAGATGAAATCCGCGGAAATTCTGCCTGAAGAATGTTTGCCGAATAGTATTGTTGATATGATCGGACGTAACTTTTTGAAGGCAGCGTCGTAAAATGAAATATTTATTTGATCTTTTTTTCTTGAGGAATGCTTACAGTATATTTGAGTAAATTAGTTAGCGCTTCTTATTGCAATGACCCAACAAGGTAATTTTCTCAGACATTTTGCTGGAATTTTTTTTTTGGCGTGCCTGAAAAGAATGAGTACTGTGCCTCCATGAAAAGAAAAATGCTCGGAAAATTGTCCTTCCGTCTTATTTAGCAATTAGGGACGAACTTCCCTGCTTTCGAAGACGGAAATTTTCGCTTATTTCGAGTAACCTCCGCTGGCAGCCTGCTAATTTTATTCCAGGGAAAGGGAAGTTCATTAATTGACGCGGGCGGGCTGTGTTCCTCATTCGCCGACTTCCCGTGACATGACATGATGTCATTTGGAATTCAGGAAGATGACCTGCTTTCTTGAGGGCAGGACGTGTTCAGCTAACTGGGATGCTCCCCAAATTGTCGAGCGTAATCTCCGAGAAACAAGATAGAACATGACATGGAATAAATAAACTCTTATACTGGGTTAGCACCTTATTAACGCAATTAATTAAAGCATTGTAGGTCATTAAAGCCGGGGTGAGACATTTATTCAGAACTACTCTAACAATATTTGTTCATACAAATTGAAGTTTCAGTTAGCGCATTATCCATGGTGCAATGGTTTACGGGCATCAGGGTTTCAGTGCAGATTTGGCTTCTCATTGATACATTTTTAGAAATGTATTTTAAATCTGACCTTATTCCTCTTTTTGCTTTTGTGCCATGCTATGAGTGCTAGCCCTAGGTTTTATTCATTTTTTAGAAAGAAATTTCTGTGAGAACGTGGTATTTTTTCCTGGGAAACTTGTGGTTGGTGCACGTCTGCAAAGATTGCTTTTCATCTGACACCGTTTCAATCGACGGCATGAATTGCGAAAGGCACCCGTCACATTAAATTACAGTAGAATCTCGTTATAACGAATAATCGGTGACAACGAAGTCTAGGTCGCTGCCCAATAGCTATAATATTAAAAGAGTTCCTCTCGAGTAAAAAGAACGAATTCTTTCTTCACAACGAAGTGTCTTCAACTGGTCCTAATGGCTTCGATTTAACGAGGCTTTACTGTATTTGGAACATGCACGGGTCCTTTTGGAAATAAAGTAGCCATTGTATGCCCTAATGTGCATGAGGGCAAGATAATCGATCTAGAGTATTCGAGAGAGGGGGAAAGCTGTAAAAAAAAGAAATCTGGAGTTATTCCTGCTGGTCGTTCATCCGGATGTGATACAGTGACGGGAATTGCTATTGGAAGATGCCACAGTGAGCTTTAATAGTACCTGCTCGCAGCAGAACTGTGGTTCACAGAGCCCACAAAGGGCGACACGTGAAGCGAACGAGAGCCCCGTAATCCAGCGAACTTTGACTCGTCCAAGACTTGCGGAGGATTTTTTTTTTCTGACTGCTTGAGAAGAAGGGGATGAACGTCGTTGGGAGGAAAAGGCTATAAAATAAATTCCCGCCAAACTAGTCCAATAAAAAGAACGGGATTGGTAAGGTTCAAAAGCGGACAACGGGGCAAAGTAGCCCCTATAGGCAGTAAGGACCTTTTCGCTGTTGAGGTGGAACAACTCTGCTTATTTTCCTGCCGCCGAGAAGATCATTCTTAGAAGCAGGAAAAACATTAATGTTCTGTCTAGTCGGCTTGTGTTGTGGGACGGGGCTTTTCAAAATTTTTCATTGTATCGCTTATTTACAGCACATGGCAGTGTTTTCGGAAAACCTCATGAGTATTACAGTAAAATCTCGGCATAATGAACCACCTGGGACCTGTGAGAAAATTCGTTATTATGAGATTCATGGTTTTTGGAATATTCAAGACGAAAATATGTGGGAAACAAATAATAATTGCTTTATAGTATTCACAAATTAGATATTTGAAAAATTTCTATAAATTCCATTTCCAACTCTTTTTGCAGAAGTGATAGAGAAAAAAATGAATAGGTTTAATAGTATTAATACAATTATCTTATTCCATCTTCCCTTGCTTGATGCCCTGATCTTACTGCAGTATAAATTGGAGCGTACAAAAATGCATGTGCAACGAGAGTATTTAGTTATTAACAACTGTAAGTTCCCTGAAATTGAGCAGTATTCTTTCAAACATACTGCTTATTTGAAAAAAAATAGCCATTCATATAAGTTCTAAAAAAATCGATATAATTTTGATCGAGAGTATCATACTTCATACTTTCTGCAATGATGCTAAATTTTCTGCACAAGAATGTTGCGGAGTACAGTTTTTATGGTCATTAAGAGTGCAGATTTTCCATTTTTGCCAATTATTAAAATTCCTATAGCTCATGCATGCATAATCGAGGCGAAAATTGGTTAGATTGAGATTATCGGTGAACAATTTTGAGCGAAATTTTTGTAAAATTAATTCTTCTGGAGAAATTGCCGGGACCAAGGAAAAAAAATTATGACGAGATGGTTTAGTTGAAGCCTTTTTTTTTACCAATAGGACCAGTCAAACTTTCTTTCAAGATTTTTTTGGAGTTTTCCAGAAAAGAAGAATGATTATTTTTTCAAAAAGTTTCCGCGCGCACAGCGAGAACGTCCTGAAAACGTAGCTCAAATCTCGTGAAAATTGCAGCGCGTTCTCACGATTTCGCACGTTGTTCAGTACTACTTGTGTGGCCCTTGTTTTCGTGCCAAGGTTAATTGTCGGCTTTTTTTTGTAACGCCTGTTCGTGTCTGATGTCATAACAGAGAAAGGTCCACGCTACCCGACTTGTTGTTCACCGCTTTTTTGCTCACTTCGCCTTACGACACGGTTTCGGGGTCGTCCTGATGATAGTCAGACCCATAATGAGAAGCGCAGCGAGTAGCAAGAATTACGACACTGAGCGCACGAAACTCCTTGAAATGAACTTCAACGACCCCCAGTGGTCCCACATGTGGTATCTGGTGAGTCTATCTTCGTTGGAGAAGCCGTTGGCGTGTGTTTTTCTCATCGAGTATTCTTTCAACCCGGCTTCGGGACGAAATGATATGAGCGCAACACGTGAATAAATGAGCTATTTCCATTTTATCGCGAATACTGTATAAGAAGATGCGCAGCTAAGGTCTCGCTTAGGGTTAAATAATAATAAAAACGTCTCGGCTTTAACCCTTTTCAAACGTACTCTTAGAGCCTGCGGAAAAAGTAGAAGGGGCGGTAAGAACTTCTTGACACTATGTGTCTATGGTCCCTGTAGAGCTCTAATACCTATCTGAATGCAATGGGCCCCGACATACGGACGATTGGAATTAGGGAAACTCGATAACTTTAAGTCTGCCCCGACATCCAGACAATGACGCGAGATAAAGACACTTGACCAACATTTCTTGACGAATGGAAAAATTTTACTTTTCCAAATTTTGATATCTCTTGAATAAATTGAGCGTTTTATATTCATAAAAATTAAATATACGTTTCGTTATAAATTCACTGCAATAATCCAGAACAGGCTAATTTTGTGCTCTTTTCGGAGTTATTTCCCATCATCTGAGCGCAGTATAGAAACACTATGGCTTGCTTTTTGGGCTCCTTTTCTTGCCAAAAGATCCAATTATGTGGGGTTTTCTTTGCACTGTTATTTTCTTTATCTTCAAGTCGAGCAAAATTATTTTATTTGAGTTTTGGGAAACTTGTTCCATTTTTTATCAACAAATCAACAAATTTTTGTCAATAAATTTATCAACAAATTTTATCAACAAAAGAACTAATTAAATCATTTCCATTGAAGTCTAAGGGAAGAAGTGATCCGAACTGCTGACGCTCCGACATAGGGACACGGGTCAAGCATAAATTACGTCCAGATCTCGGGGCCCATTGTAAATTACGTCCTCAAAGGCCACAAAAGCAAAGATTTCTCACGAAATTGAAATTGAAACTTTAGGCCACATCTTAAGCTATTATTGAGCAAGAAAAATGGGGCATGAGGGTGTATTTTCTTGTTTTGTTTTTTTTAACGCGGAAGAAACGAATGTCTACCCTTGTCCGTCGAAGAAGTCGTGGTCAATTTAAAACGAGATAGGAAGGAATATTCGTGATTTTAATGGAGGACCCTTTTGCACCTCCAGTTAGCAATTTGTGGCATTGAGGCGCCATATACAGTATTTTAACGCGTTCTGCCCATTTTCTGTGAAGCAAGAGAATGTCTTATACAGTTTTCGCGAAAATTTCATGCTTTTCTGGACAGCGATGCTTTTTGAAGATCTGAATTTCATCGCGTTAGCAAAGTTTTCAAGGAGAGAAGAGCGCAAAACTAATTTGTATATGAGTAACGGAGATTGCAATGTTTTTGACAAGCCGTGCCATCGCATCTGGTCCCTTGCTTATAGATCGGAGAGGTGATGAAAGCGGAATGATGAATGCATTCGTCTTAGCGAGCAAATGTTTCAACTTGGCCTTCCGACGTTAGGTTTGCCCGGAAAGTGATCTGTTGAGGATTTCTCTTGTACATCAGTCTCATTGGATACGCGTTTGATGTATCATTTCGGGAGAAAAAAGCTGCTATCATGTGCAACGCTCCTCTTTTGCGTAGAATCTCCAAATCCATCGTTACATCAGCATTGCAGCTCTCGGCCATATTTTCTAATGCTTTTTAACTGCGTCGAGATTGCCTCACCGTTGAGACAGAGGGCAAGAAAAAACATTTCTGTCCGAAATCCATCATCTTCTGACGGCAACGTCAAGAATTCTTCCCCTTTTTTCAATTAAAAAAAAAACGCGCTATGAAGGATAATTTTTATTCTTTGCGATCAAGTCAACATGAGGAAAGCGGCTTTTGTTCTTTGCCCACGATCCATCAAGCTTCCGACTTGAGCCGTGCGCTGTTTACGCGACTCAATTAGGAAACTTTTCCGGGAAAATCTCAACAAAGGATCGTAAAATTCAATGTTCCGCGGTTTTCTGGCTTTGATGACTTGCGTAAGGTATGTAAATTTTGTTTTGTGATGGGTTTATCGTTGGTCTAGATCCCGTATCAAATGTAGTGGCAGAAGAAAAATCGTGTGCTTCTGCGAGAAAAAGCTGCGGTTTTCCTATACTGACCCCTCACTATCGATTTTGCTTCTTTTATTCAGAGCGTCGTGATAAATGGTTTGACGTCGGCTTTCTCGCAGTGATGCACAACATTTCTTGTTGGTTGTTTTAAGGGTTGATGCATTGCGAGAATAATATCTTCCTGCCTTCACCTTCGCATCATCCGAGTCAGCGAACTTGCAAAAAAGTTCATCTCATGCATTTCTGATCATGCTTGCGTTAAATTGCCTGAACTCCCAATGATCTGATTGTTCGCTTTGTTCTGTACCCCCTCCATTCAATTTTTGGATCTTCCGCGCTGTAAACGGGTGTACTATGATCTCTCGTCGTTTAATTTTGTTGGATTTTGATGAGGATTGTCAGTTTTATTTCCACTTTGACATTTTGGAGCCAGTGATAGCCAAGTTAAATTCGTCCAGCGAGTGGTTTTTTTCTACTGAAGTGAAAGCCAGCTGTGTCGCGGGAAAAATTACTGAATATGGCGAATTCAGTTTTTTTTTTCACTGGTAAAACTTCTTTTTTCCCTCGTGCTTTCGTTCTTTATGAGTGCATACCTGTGTGTACCATCTTCTTACAGTATTGGTATGTTGATTTTTTCCAGCTGCTATGACTATTTTTCAAACCTTTTCATCATTTCATGAAATCTGAAAGAATATCTGTTTCATCTCGTTTATAATCTGCATTCTGACAAGTCGTATGCTGTACTTCATTTTTTCTTCTCTTTAGGGGGAAAAAAAAGTGCGAGGCACTGATTTCGGCGACATTTGGTCGCTCTTTTAGGTCGCTGACTTTTGTACGGGTTCTACATAGGTTTCGAAAGCGTTCAATTTGAAAAAGGCCCTTCTTGTGGCATCCTTCTAGCAGCGGGATGACCTTGTTGCACCCCATGAAGTTACTTGTTGTCAGCCACGGCATTGACTCAGCTGGCGATTGAGTCGTACTCGTAAAGTACTGAAGCGAAGCGATTGTTCATGTCACGCACCGGGATCAACAGGTCTTCCTTGAGAAGGGACCATGTTTATTTGTAATGCGCTCTGATGAATTGATGAGCTCTGGCTATGGGAAACCCAAGGTCTGTGAAGACTTCATTCAAGTCCCCTGTTCGTGACTTGGCGCTATGACTTGTGTTTTAAGATGCATAGCTGAGTTTGCGGTTGAATTATTTGCTTTGTGCTGGGTGACCAAGGTCGTATTCACATTTCTCAGCAGCGTTCATTGCCCGGAGAAGTTTAAGGTTTTTTTTTTAAATTATTATTTGGGATGACGTTTTGTAATCGAATCCACGAAAAATGTTGGGTTTTACAGTCATGAAACTAACTGAAGTCTGTTGAATTGAAGTCAACTCGGCACTCGTTGCAGAAATGCGAAGTTTTGGCGTCATTCGGTACTTCAAGAATCGGAGCTATCGAAACTTGAAGGGCTGACTAAAATTAGTTACCCAAAAATTAGTGTCCGCCAAAAGTTATGTTTTTCGGGGGAAATATCCGATACAAGGACGTAACATATTTATTTTCTTTGGAAAATATACCGAAATAAATCATAGCAGACTTGTTCGGCACTGTATATCGATAGCTCATTTCATATTTGACATTCTCCGAAAACTTCGCAGCTTTTTGTGTTGGAAAAAAATTCTTCTGCCGAATTGCTATCAACGAATTCTTCGCGTATCGCTAAGACGTCATTCCTTGCAAGAAATATGTGCGATGTACATCTGCTTTCATTGTTTTTATTTCCAGGATGATTTAGCATTACCTTGCTTCCTCAAACTCTCTGAAGGTTTCATATAAATTTCCTGCGGTCGTTGATTCAGATTCGAAATGATTTTTCCCTCTTGAGCATTTGTGATATTATTTTTTCTTTCTGTATATCCAACTGTTCATAACCTGATTCTTTCCTGAAGCTGTTCGGCAGAAGTCGTTTAATTCCGTGGTTACCAGGTGTTGATTCTTACCCAGGAATTTTCCGTGAGAAACTTGGATTCCTCCACGGACTCGCTGAGGCTTGACAAGATTTGGGGAATGGTCCTGGGGAATACTTCAGCAGGAAAAATACCGTGTTTCCTTCGAAATGAGACCTATTTGTTGAATAAACTCCAGCACTTTTCTCATACGCCGATCTAAATATGAACTCAAGCCCGAGAAGAAGCCCTGAAAAGTTGAAGTAACAAGAGTTGCTACCAGCTGGAATGCCTGTGTACGAACACCAAGATGAATACCTGGGATTTTAAAAATATAAATATGATGAAAATAAGAATAGCTGGTCCTCTGAAAGAGCACTTAAAATTAAAGGGCCAGACAGGGTCATTCTCCTCGCATTCCCACATATTGCTGATATTCAGTATTCGTAGGAAATACGGGTATGTCATGCTTCTTCCTCATATTTAATTGTTCCGAGGACAAATTATTTCAGGCTTTTTCCTGATATTCCGCGTAGAATGGAATTTTCGACTTGGAAAATTTATTCGAAACAGTCTATAAGCTAAAGTAACATCTTTTTCAGATTGAGGATTCCGAAAGGTTGCATTGTAAAGTACTTGCGGTAGTGCATTTTCCGCATGGGAAACATTCGATACAATCCCTTTGTAATTCCTGATTTTCCTCTGCCCATTTAAAGTTGAAATTTAACCCGCTCTTGCAAATTTTCGGAAAAGAAATCGATGGAAGACCTGCTGTTTTTTTTTTTTTCGTAGGGAAACGAGGGGATCAGACTGTCGCGTTTTACTTTCAGCGCATCGCAGTACCCCAGTTCTGTTGTGGGATTAATCCCAATAGCAAGTTCGGGGGTTACACAATGCGGCTCTTGTTGGCTTCATTACTTCTGATTCTGGGCTGATTAACGAAGACCCCCCGTGATGCATTACCAGCTTTGCGCGTAACAG